CCCCCACGCCCCCCTTCCTCGTCCCAAAGCAATAACCTTATATCGTAATCGTCCTCGCGTCAAGGGGTTAAGAATAAAATTGACGTGACCCAGAGTCCCTGTCACCCTTCATTTTTCATATCTTTGACAGTCCCGGCTAAGAGTTTCTTTTTTTCGATATATGTGAAATCGAAAGCTGATAATCCTCGTACGGCATCGACACCCGCCACTCGACTGCGGCAACCGATGCAGATTTGATCTATCTGTCACGTTTTGTCTGGAATATTAATTTTCCAAGGGTGTCTTTTTCCCCCCCACGATTTCGTAGGTTTTTCTTTTTCTTTTTCTTTTTATCGCTTCCTTTCCAACCCCTTGTACGGGGACCGCCCGAGGCGCCTCAGGAATTGCTTGCGAATTGGCTGTACACGAGGTCCGGATGTGTGCGGCCCGTTCACGGCTATCTTTATTTTCCGCCACCAGGAGCGCCACGATACGTGAACCTAGATAAAGGACGGGAGCGTATCCAGGAGTCTCGAGTGACGTCGGGTATAAGTCATACCAGAAACCATAATAAATAAGCGGTCGAGTTGCGTTCTTTCGGCAGAATGCGTGTACGAGTCAAAATGTTCGCTCGTTGTAAACTCGACGAATGGAGTCCCTTTACCTTACCCGACCACGAGTCTCTCGTGTGGATGCGCCTTGAGTCTTGCGGTCATATGGCGAAATCGTAAAGGTCCATTTTAGCGTCGTTTGACCAATCGTCGCTCGAGTCTCGAGAACCGCAAAGATATCCGTGCTGTCTTGTCTCGGGTGAAAAAAAAAATTTCAAGACGTTCGTCGCGGCTGGTAGATCCTGGTTGTAAAAAAAGGAAATTTTTTTGAGTCGAACGATTTTGAAAAAAAAATAATTTTTATTCGACTTTTTTTTTTTTCTTTGACAAGGTACGAGAATTCACGTGCTTATTCCAAGCCTACCTGGACCTTCGATGCATGCGGGAACCAACCCCTTTTGACTGCAACCCCTTCCGCGCGCTCCACAAAGTGCATACGCCGCATACGTTGGCCAATCGATATTTTAATATTGTCACGCTGGAGGATTAAAGGGCCTTTGTCATGACGTCACTAGTCGAAAAGAGCCCGAGGCTGCCGGCAGTCAAATCCTTACTGGAGTTACCGCGAACGTAGCTTAGGTCCCTGCGCTCTCTCGTTCTATCTCTCTCTATCTCCCTGGTTCATCGCGATACCGTATGCAAACTGTTCTACGTGATTCGAATCCGGTATTATACAGGGTGCGACACGCGTTTTAAGATTCTTCGAGAACCAAGGGAATCTTGGTATCTACGCCGTGCGATAGTAAAAAAAAAGAACTTTTTTTCTGGACTTTCGGAGCTGAGAAGTGAGGGGGGTGGAAAGTTGGGGGTGTTCATGGAGAGAGATACAGAATGGGGTGGACCGATAGAAACGATAGGTCGAGGGACGAGTGTCGATGAAAAATAATATGGACACCCCGTACGTAGCGTACACGGGATACGCGAAAAAAGAAGTTTATCCGCTCGATATACGAAGTGGCGCTTCCGGGCGGAAGTCGAAAAAATTTTCGTGCATATTTCGTGATTTCAAAAATCTTTCATCGCGACTGTACCCGTGTATAACCCATTCGCTATATTTTCCGTCGTGACGTCAGAACCGAGAGGGGGTGCCTTCCCGAAGGAAGTATCAAGAGGATGACCAGAAGCTCGAATGCTCCCTGTACCTTAAACAATGGCCTTCCGAACGATTTGACGTTAAACGGCGCCGGCAATTCTCGACGGGTAATTTCTGCGGGAAATCGTTCGGTCACTTTTCACGTAGACGCCCGACGTCGCTACGCGACCCCTCGTTCTGGGGTTTGAAAAAAAAAAAAAAAAAAGTACATTCCGAACCAATTTCAATTCGATCCACTGCGCGGGCTAGGTGAAAAAAAAAGAAAAAGAAAAAAGGTTTCCTGAGTTTCAAAGAGACCCTCTCACTCCCGGTTCCCTTCACTTCCGGCTCCCTTAACTTCCGCTTGATTTTCACTTTTCTAAAGATCAGACACCAGAATCTCCCAAGGACGCTCACGGTCTCCGGGTAATTTTCATCTTAATTTTGGAACGTAGCTTTCTTACTCGACCGATAACGAAAAATCCAAAAACCAACCTACCTTACCCCTCGGCCGTCCACCAAAACGAGAGCTCTGACGGAACCTGCCGGATGATGCGATAACTTAACGGATCCTGGAGATTTTGGAAATCAGCAAACGCAACTGGATGCTCGAACGGGAGCGGACGGTTACGGAAATGCGCGGCCGTTCAGGCTGCTAGGAGTCGCCTTGTGACCGTGAATCGGAAGATGACGTAACAATTTATATCGGCTTTCAATTTTTCTCAGTCTCCCCCTTCACTGCCTATTTTTTTTTTTCTTTAACCCAAAAAGATTCTTATCCCTTATCACATACGGTCCGGACGAAATTTATTACCTCGTACTCCGCTCTCCGAAGATGCTCCTCCCCCGCCCAGCTGTTTTCTCTCCACTCTCCGGCTGAATGTTTTCTCGGGGGGTGGTGAGTGTCCAGGAAGCTCCCAGGAATAATCCTAACGGATGGCCACCCGCGAACTTTGCATATGAAAGGCCCACCCGGGCGTGAATCAATAGAGTTTTATACACAGAGGGCACTTGCTTATCTCTTACCCCGTCAGACTTTTATCCCGGGGCGCAAGGAAGTCGGCAATATTTTCGACTTCCGGCGTGGCGTAGCAGCTAACGGAAGAGCCGCTCTTGTCCGAGGTGGAACGAGCTCGGAAGCGGATTCAGGACCTCAGCGGCGAACCGGGAGAAGCGCCGGGCTGATTCGTCGCGCCCTTAAGGATGGACCTAGAGGCGCCTCGAGCGTGAAACAATATGGGCCTTTTGGCGTCACGCCGAGAAATTGGCTGGCCCCTCATTTTCGTGCTGACTTGGGACTTTTCAGGGGCCTTATTCGTCGGGGTGTACAAGACTAGTAAATTATACCAATGGCCAATTTTCATAGTTCGCGCCATCCCTGCTCTGACCCATTGCCAGCGTCGGATGACCGGTGGCACTTGGGATGACTGGTGAAAATTTTTTTCAAAATTTCGAATTCGATCTCCGAGGGATGAATTGGTCTCGTGCTTAAAATTTCATCCCTTAAACGCACGCTCGAGCCTCTGTCTTGCAGCTTGTAATTTTATTCAGTGAACTCTCGGCTTTAAGACCCCGGTTGTATGGGAGAGAGTCTCGTGGACCGTACTCCAGCCTCCCGTCCTACCCCTAACCATCCACCCTTGTATTTAATTAAGATTACTTTACATTTCCGCGACTCTTTGTCTACGATTTACTTGGCTTCCCGGTCGGGAGAAGTTTTGACTGTTCGATCGATGCTCGCGCGTCTTCATACTTTTATCTAGGTACCGACCCGAAGAGCGAGGCCATTGTAAATTTGAGTGGCGACATTTTCGAAAAAAAAAAAAAAAAAAAACGAGCCTATGGAATATGTTGGCTCGGTTACGTCCTTATGAACGAATTTGCGAAAGAAGGGTCGTCCCTTAAACACATGGCGACGATTTTCCTTCTTAGGTCGAGGGTGGCGGAATTAATAAAATCCCTTGGTCTCCGTGGCGAGGAAGGGTGACTCGTGGCGGTAAGGGCCGGCGGAGGGAGCCGACGTGAAAAATAGCCGAAAATCTGATATTCCGGATTAAAAACATTGAAATTCAAAACCGCGTGCCAGGACGTCCCTCTGTCTCGCCCTGGGGATGGAAAGTCGTTAAGGGTCAGTTTCACAACCCTCCGGTGGTTATTGTCGGGGATATTATTTTTGAGCCCGAACCCCCCCAATACCCGAGTCCGGAGCCAACCGCAATTTGACACAGACGCGCCGTTTGAATTCCGAATTCAATTCCGTGCTATCGAAAATTAAGGGGCTGAAAATTGATAGCGGCCCTTTTTCCTTGGATATGTACTTCCTCGTCATTCCGCGCACGCGGTACGTCTGGGGTATCTAGGATGGTTTGGAATCCTGCTGGGACGACCCAGCCCGACCCTGTCGCATACATTGGAGGTACGAAAATTTGATTATTTTTTTTTCTTTACAGAACCAAGATGGCTGCAGTGCTCGCAGTGCTCCCGTCGACTCTCCTCCGCCTGGGAACTCCTGCAGCACGCGCAGAGCGTCCACGGGGCGAGGCTCTACACGTCCTCGTCATCCTCGGCGAACTCCTCCTCGAACGCGCCGGCACTGAGTCCACCTACCCCCACGCCGACCCACACTCACCACCTCAGTCCACCCAATCACCTGAACCTCAGTGGGAAGTCGACCGGAAGTTCCTCGGCCGCAAATTCCTCGGGGGGTACCAATTCCAGCGGTAGCAGCGGAGGTCGACAGCTACAGTCTTCGGCGTCCCTGGTCGCGGATCCTCTTCAGAGCTTCCTGAGGATGCCTCAGCACCTAGAGAGAAGCTTTCCACCCATGTTCAGGCCTGACTTCCTCGCGCTGAACTCGCTGGCTGGGTACAGGGGACTTCCGGATCTTCAAACGGCTACCAGAAACCTACAGAACCTCGGCGATCCTCTACGGGGTATGGACGGTGTTAACCTGGGTGATCCTCTCGTCAGGAGCTCCCTGGATTCCTTCAACAATGCGAGGAATCTGGCTAATCTGGCTGAACTCTCTCACGGGAGAGGTCTGGCTGCACAGGGTCATCCACCACCTCTAGAAGCCAACCTGGATTTTTACTCGGCGCGCCTAAGGAGCCTCGCTAACCCGTCCTTAGGCGCGGCTCCGAATCCACCCTCCAACCCCACCCCCGTAGTCAGTCTACCTCATTCCATAGAGCCACCAAGTCCAGCAGCAAATCCTACCAACCTCACCCACTCCCATCAGAAGGAGAACTCGCCGCCATGTTATACGCAAAGTCCTATTGGGCATCACAATAATAATAATTCAACAGACTCCGAAAAGACGAGCCCACCGGTGGCCTCCACTCCGATCATCACCGACAGCGAGACCGTCTACACCTGCGAGGTCTGCGACAAGAAGTTCAGGTTTCAGTCGAACCTCATCGTCCACCGCCGGAGTCACCAGGACAAGGAGAGGGCCTTCCAGGAGACGATGCAGGACGGCACGGCCACCAGGTGCGAGGTCTGCGAGCTGGAGGTAGCAAGCTTCTCCGAGCTCAGGAAACACATGAGGAAGGAGCACCAGGAGAGTCTGAACGTGGCTTCGAGTCCTCAGGGTAGCGTGGAGACGGTGCCCGACGACGGTAGCAGCTGCGACGAGAACATAGACCTGGACGAGGCCGAGGATAAGGTCAGGGAAGATACGGAGGAGAACACACCGGAGGACCTCAGTACGACCCAGGGTCAAAGTAGCGAGGAGAGCGGGGGCCGAGTCGATCAGAAGCCGAGTCTGGTCGGGGACCTCATGGAAAAGTTTGGTCTGAGCAACATAGCCCAATATTCGGAAGCCTACAGGCAGGCCCTGCAAGAGAATCATAGGGGCGCCTTCATAAAGGCAGAGTCCACGTCCAACCTCACGAATTCCCTGAACAACAACAAGGAAAAGGACAGCGCCCTCTCGCCGACAAACTTCAACTCCTCGTCCACCCCCAACATATTCTCGGGTCAGGGCTTCCCCAGGAGCACGGGTCCGGACTTTGGTGGTCTCTGGCTACCAAGCCCGCACTACCTGGAGAACAACGAGTTCCGGAAGGCCTCCAAGGCCACGACCTCCAGCCTGTCCCTTCAGGGTCTGCCCAGTCCACTCCTGAAGAAGGAACGAAGCGGCAGAAACGACACCTGCGAGTACTGCGGCAAGGTCTTCAAGAACTGCTCCAACCTGACGGTCCACAGGCGGTCCCACACCGGCGAGAAGCCCTACAAGTGTGAACTATGCTCCTACGCCTGCGCCCAGAGTTCAAAGCTCACGAGACACATGAAGACCCACGGCAGACACGGCAAGGACACCTACAAGTGTCGCTTCTGCGAGATGCCCTTCTCGGTACCCAGCACCCTGGAGAAGCACATGCGCAAGTGCGTCGTGGTGGTCCAGCAGGGTCCTAAATTGGGTATGCCGTATCCTGGTAGCCAGGACGAGGACTCGTCTCTCAGTACCAAGGACACTTGATCCTGGAACGGCAGCCTACCGCCGATCCCACCAATGTGGCCGCATAGGCCGCCATATCCAGTATACTAAGTGTTCGGTGCTGATCTACATGGGACATGGCACATCGAAGAGTGATCCGGGAAGACTCCAGAGGATGACGTCCAAGTTGATTTACAGACAGGACTCGTCCTACAGGTACCTCTTGCACCGGGTCTTCGAGATGGTCCTCATGGTAGAGGATGCGGTAAGGGTTCTCTAAGGTGGCTAGCAGATCTACCACAGGGTCTGGTCAAGGCTTGATTTTACACTTCAAGCACTACTGCACCTCAGCTCTACCCACCGGAAATGAATCACGTCCAGATTTCACTGGGCGACGTATACCGGAAGTCCTCAAGAACAGCCTGAACGAGCTCAAGGAGAAGAAGAGAAAAAACGCGATCCGTCGCGTCGTACAACGAAATACCCCAGTCTGTCAGGACTGGGCGGGGAAGATTCGACGAGGTGAGAATCGTCGGGGAAGAAAGTCAAGAAAGTGAATGGAGGAGGAGAATTTAAAAGAAAAAGAGAGAAGCCGAATAAGATGAAGCTACAAACGAAATACTTAAAAAGAAAAACCCCAATAATTTAAACTGAAACGAATGAATGGTTACCATTGCGAGTCTCAGACCCCTATTAAATTATGTACTTATAAATAACGACGATATATATATATATCTATATATATATATATATATATATATATATATATATATATATATATA